AAAAAAAAAAAAAAAAAAAAAAAAGAAAAAAAATTGAAAACATTTATACATCCAAACAGCAATACCACTTTACCGTTAACCACAAGATTATCAACATGAAACCATATGTAGTTTTTTTATGACATCATAAGACTACAGAAGTAGACTGCAGATACTAACAGTAACTTTTAAAAATTGAAAAATTATAATAACAGATTTTAGTAACCATTCAATCCTGATTTCACAAGCTCTCTTACTTTCAACAGCAGAATTGAAGAGCTAAAAAAATAACTTTGCCAACAGCAAACTTCCCTGTCAAATACATTAAAATCCTTTCCGTTCGACAGCGGTTAATGACTCACGAAAAATACTTTTGAAAAAGCGGAAAAAGAAGTATCTGCGTTGACGAGTCAACAAATGACTTCCTAGTGAAGCGAAAACAACCGCAAACTAGAAGACCATCGTAACACTAACCAATTTTAACAAAGGCTCTTTGAAACAGTTTCAAGATAAATAGCGAAGAGGACAAATAGTTGCTTCCGTACTGTACATTACTTCCTTCAGCAACAAGAACAATGAACGAAAATACATGAAATCATCATGAATCTAAACTGCAAAAAACTAACTTTCACAAAACAATGCCCTGATTCTCTTTGCAAATGACCCTGCAGAAAAAATAGAAATACAAAAATACAAGAACTTTCGACTTTTGTTACGACATTTTAGCTACTCGCAGTTGAACAGTATATTTCAGGTGAGGTTTTACTGTTTTAACTTCTATTCATAGACTACAATAAAGCATATTTACAATGAAATGAATAAAACTTTTTCTTTTAAAGCTGCCACTTTTGTAGCTGGACAGATAATACCAGTTTCAACAGTGCGACAGTGAAAGACGCATACAATCAAAATAAAAAATGATCACAAAAATTGTATCTCCTTCCCCTCTCCCAGGGCTTGCATTAACTACAGAATTTGCACCATAAAATAAACAATAAAATACAATAAACGAAAATTAGTTTTATCAACGCAAGCAAGCCTCCAAACTGTTATCACAGAAATCTCTAAGACGTTAAAATAGAACTCCTACAGAAAAAAGAGTGATTTTGTGAAAGAAATTACACGTATCAGAGGTGAATAAAACCCAAAATACCAGTAAGGAAAACATGGTAAAACATAGCTGCAACAAAGGTGGTGCGAGAGAGGAGCAAAAAATTGCTCTTTTCCGTTAGGTCCACCTGACACAAATACTATTTGGTATGAGATTGCGCAAATTTCCTAATATAACGAAGCCTTTCAACATTGAACCCCAAATAAGGAGTCCCTTTTTCAAACTCCTCTCTTCGCCATATATTTACAGCCAGCTGTGATCTAAAGGCTAATTTCCGTACTACAGAGGCAGCTTGATTTAAAGGCAAGAATACTCTACTAAGTGCCAACCAAGACGATACTTCACGCCTAACGTTTAGTTTTATCAAAACATTCGTCTCATCTTGAGGCACAACCTAAAAAATTAAAGATTTAAAAATGTTTTACGTTACTGAAATAATGAAAGCCCTATGCTACGCAGTTATTAACGTTACTGTCGAAGTTTCCATAAACACCATCAATTGCAGCACAAAAAGTTAGCACTGAAGTTATTACTGGCTGAAAGAAAACAACAACTAACCTCGATTGCTGCGTAAGCAAATTTGCCACCAATCGTCCCCAATTTGTAAGGAATGCCACTCTCATTAAACACTATCGTTATATAATCATTTCCAATAAACTTTTTCTTCTCATTGCAGGCAGTGTCACCTTCCTTCTGCGGCATCAGAGTAGCTAAAACCACCAAAAACAATTTAAAAGCAAGTATGAGACGGAAAGAAATAAAGTTTGGAAGATTCAGATTAAATCAGGTAGACCAGAGTAGTGATTTTGAAAAATATAAAGCAGTGAAAAATTAATTTATTTGTATAAAAGGCATTTAACAAGAAATTCCTGCCTATGTGAAAAACAAGCTTGGATATAGCGTCAATGTACATGTAAGTGAAGGCACCGTTTTGTCCCGGTACAAGACCGCCAGGATTATTTTCTAGTGATTGAGGTTCTCCCAGCATACTAAAACACTCAAGTGAAACGCACACACTACATACAGACCCGACAAAAACGTAGAAAATAAAAAATAGCTTTCTTGCAAAACAACAATGAAGAGAGACCTTAAAAAAGCACTGTATTTTGACGAGCCGAACGTGTTCGCTAAAATATCAGCCTCCTTTACCTGCCCATCTCTAAGGTATACGACGCCAATAGTATGCATTTCATACGGGCAAATTCGATCCAAGTTCCGAAGAGATCGCATTCTGGAAAATCAGAAGTCAGGCACTTACTGTAAGTGAAAATCAATGAACTACGAAAAAAATGAAAAGAAGTAGAACAAGAATTTTTCGGTAAAAAAAGATTTTGAAACTCTCTAGTGATAAATGATACATTTTTTGTTTGTCGGTACTCGTCACCTTGACTGCATTTTTCAAGGAACAAAGATGTAGTATGAGGGAGTTTGTATCGGCAACAGGAGTCGGAACTAAAAACGGAGACAGAATTCGGTAAAGTTATTCTATAAGCATCTAAAATAAAGAAGCTAATTTGAAGAAGCTTTCAAAAATAGACGTTTGCCTGCCTGCATCAAAATCGTCAGGGATTTCACTAAATGATCGCATCAGCCAAGAATGTTTGCCAAGCATATGACGAACGACAAGGTGAGTCCACGTGACGCTAGCAATAGCGGAAAAGGTTACTGTGATCTGATTCATGGCATAAGAGTCGTCCAACGACGCTGGCTTAAGCGTTGGCTGTAAGCTGAAAGGTCTCCGTAAGGAAGTAAATAAAAAAAGAAATTTAGACTTGAACGAGGGTCTCAGATATTAACGCATACAAAAAAAATGTAAGTGAAGCGAAAAAAAAGGAAACGCATACCTCTGGGATGCGTTAGTAGCAGAAAGATGACGACGCCTTTTATCTAAGCGAGCAGCCTCAGAATTTTGTCTTGACGGTACAATATCGTTACCTTAAAATAATTTTTTTTACAAGTAAGAAAATGACATGAAAAAAAAATGATTACTTGAAAGTGGAGTAGAGCCAGTAGTCTGAGTAACTTCTGGTTCTGCCAACATTGTTACCGATATTATAGAATCATTGACAACCCAATGCTGGACACTTTTCTCCACCAGGCCTTCATGTACTTCAAGTTTTTGTGTTTCGTCAAAATCATCAATCCTCCCATGTTTTAAAAATGCCAAGAGTAGGTCACCTGCCTCTTCAGCAACCTAAGTAAAAAAAGAATTAATTTTGGCAGATAAATGTGTGCTCTTCCACAAAATTTACTACTTTCTGTCATAAGAAATTTTCAAAGCTAGTGTAGTGATGGCCACATGAAACAGAGCGTCTAAAGCAATTTTTTAAAGAATAGTTTGTATCGTGTTCTGTAAAATAGACTGCTGACTTTTCACAAAGAGAAGGCTGAAAAAAGTACCAAGAGGAAAAGTGGAATTATGGTAAATAAAGCTCTCTGGGATTTCTAAGCCTATAACTTACAACCGTTAACTCTTCTTTTTGAAACCATTCTAGAAAAAAAAATTTCAGTTTAGAAAAACTTGCACAGATATTCAATAGTAAACCAAAAAACCTACATTTTCAACAGAAACTCAGTCAAAAAGTTAACAGACATTCAACAAATACGTATTAAATTCTCTGGAAATAACATGTTATGAGCAAACCTCCATATGTTGGATTTTTTGTCAAATATTTTATAAAAGATAAAAGAGCTCAATTATTGCTAAAAAAACTGCAATGTTTCCTAGAAATCTTCGCTTCAAAATTCACATGAAAAACTGTAATAAACTTTCAAATTACTCTAAAACAATAGAGCTCAGCGTCCACGCTGCAACGGTTTTCACATTACAACTGTTCCGCTCTGACTGTGAATAATTTTGCCCTTACAACTTTTTCATTAAAACTGACAAGTAATTCATCACCGAGTTGCAGAAACGAACAAAATTAGCTTGCGGTCATTAAAATAAAATAAAAATTTATCATACTTGATGACGCTGAATTTTCACAATTATAATGAACTCAATCTTCTAAATTTATATTTGAATTTATC